CACTTATCCCTGTAAAATTAAGACTTGTTTTGGTTTCTGTTTCCTTAGGCAGCTAGAGCAGGATGTAGAGACTGTGGTTAAGGTACTGCAACCTGGGCCTTTGGGGATAATCGAGCACAAGTTCACCGATGAGGAAATCAAAAGGGCTAATTCGACTGTCCGTGGAGCAGTCGAGAATTGGCGAAAGACTGCCTACATTGAACAAAATAACCCTTTCATGAAAGGTTTCATTGACAGCAAGAGATGAGCCCTTGTGAAGTATGTAACCTTTCAAGTGATATCTTTCTTTCATGGAGTTGTGTTTCATCTTGACCAATGAATTTTGTTCTGATATCTTGAAGTAATAGGTTTTGTATTGAGGTTCTGTTTAATAAAAAGAATATGCCTTTGCAATTAGTTTCCGGTACACTTTCATTGTTTATTTTTGCTGATGTTGAATCCCGAGTAGTTAGAATGATGTTGTTATTACATTATGGAACTTTTGAGGCAATACAATATAAGTATAAATATGTCTTGGTGCACATTTGCAAGTTTTAGCAGCAAAATGAAGTATATATGCGTATAAATATTGCGTGTATTCTGTACTAATATTGTTCTTTGAAGAAGATGACATACACTATACAGCAAATGGAGAATATGATGACAAAGATATCAAAGGTGAGGGCTTGCATTTTTCATCGTTGCGTAGCTGCATGAATTTTTCAGAAGCTGCCTTGATTTATTCTAGATTTGCAGTTGCTGTTACCCCTAGAAACCTGATTTTTTCGAGCAGTTTGAATATCAACAAATGAAAAAAGAGGGTGTTTTTTTCGGGAAACTCTTAAATTCCCAACTTCTGTTTCTAATGTTGTGTTTTGATCAGATTAGATTATGAGAGTAATGAATTGGAGTACTTCAAAATTCTCTTTCAAGCTTTTCAACTGTTAGCCTGTTATTTAGCTTAACCTGACAGATTCTTGATTTCAAGTTTTCAACTAATGTTCTCCTCTTGTTGTATAGTAAATACAACCAATTGTGTGACACTAAAGAGGATAAAGAATGAAGTCGTTTATTGGTAAATACGAATCAGACGAGCTGTTGAGCAAATCGGAGAATTTCTCGCCCAGCGACGAATATTCCTCCGTTTTGGCCCGTTTCTCTGTTCCCGAGCTGTTTTTTCCTCCTATCCATCCTTCGTCCTCGTTTTCCCAGTGAATGCTCGTGTCGACTTCCGGTGGGGGCCCAATTCTTGGGCAGCCTGTACATGAAATGACCTTT